AGTCCCGCCCGGTACCACGGTCGGTACCAGGCCAGTCCAGTCCAGTCCAGTCAGTCCGCTGGGGGTATACCCCAGCTGCAGTCTGTTTTTCGTCTTCTTCACTTTCGCAGATCTTGGAGTACTTGCGTGTGGAGTCTGCGTCGGAGCTGCGCTGTCCCCTCCAGCTCCATCTCTACCTCCTTCGTCTCCATCCTAACGGACCGCCATCCCGGCGGGTCCGGCACAGGGTTAATGCTAGGGGGGCTGATAAGCACAGACACCACTAGCACCTGGGGAGAGGCTCCATCTATTGGTGGGGAGCAGCACCTGCTGGAAAACGGGTCCAGCATCCCAGAACATTGAGATTGTTGAAATTGGTGAGCAGGACCGACATCGACTGTGATGACAGCGGGCTGCCTAACCTATTGGACAGCTAAGAGAAGGTGCACTACTGCCGTGTAGGCAAAGCCAGCTGCCTAAAATACCTCTTCACCCCACTTGAGGGCGCCTGATCTGCACGACAACTCTAGTGTCATTCAAGCAGCCCAGTTACCATGAAGAACTCAGAAATATAACCCATTGCTAGCTCAGCAGATGTGGGGCTTTACCTAACATGCCATCCAAAACTTTAACCCTTGATCCTTCCCTAGTCCTGACCAAACCATTGCATTTCTACAATTGCTGTGGCAGACGGGGGGGGGGAGATGCCTGGACAACCCCTGTGGCACCCAGCAGATGAGTAGATCCAAAATGACAGCAGCTTTACCTCTCTGTATTGCAGACGATGAAGCATATGCTTAAGATGAGCCAATCCACCAATGAAACAGTTTTGCCTCTGTAATCAGCAACATGAAGCATAATATCTCTATCCAAAATCATAGGAATCGTACCTTTATACTGGCAATGCAACACATTTGAGATGAGCCAACCCAACAATGAAACAGTTAGCGACATGAAACGCAAGAGATCCATTATATCGTTTTCTTGATGATGATATGTGTGTGTGTGTGTGTGTGTGTGTGTGTGTGTGTGTGTGTGTGTGTGTGTGTGTGTGTGTGTGTGTGTGTGTGTGCGCGCCCGCATGTTGTATCTGTTGTTCTTTCCTTTTCTTTTGTACGTGTGTGTGTATGTTTGTGTTTGTGTGGGGGGAGAGTGAGGGGGGGAGGAAGCAAAACGAATGGAATAGTCGACCGAGGTTTACAAAGGGAGGACCAAAAATTACCACCTGGATATCCATCTCCCAATCTCTTCTCCTGAACAAACGTATGGTCGTTACAGCCGTATGTGGGGCAACTTGCAGTCTAAACGCAGTGATAATGACCGTTAAGTTCTATTCGGGGGAAGACAGGTAAACCTGGACTTCCAGAGGGCATGTGCACTCTGAGAGGGTAGTTTTGGTATTTTGAGATGCAGGTGGATTTGTTTTTTTTTGTTATCAACTTGGAATTGAGTGCGCTGTTTTGGGCGGCATTGGTTCTCCCGCAGATGAACTGATTGCCACAGCGAAGAAGATTGCAACGCCAGGAAGGGGTATCCTCGCGGCTGATGAAAGCACGGGCACCATTGGGAAGAGGTTGGCAAGCATTAATGTCGAGAATGTTGAATCGAACAGGAGGGCTCTTCGGGAGCTCCTGTTTACCGCACCTGGTGCGCTGGAGTACATCAGTGGCGTAATCTTCTTCGAGGAAACACTCTACCAAAAGGCAGCAGACGGGAAGCCCTTCGTCGATGTTCTCGGGGATGCAGATGTCGTGCCGGGCATCAAGGTAGACACCGGTGTTGCCATTCTCGCGGGAACTGATGGGGAGACTACCACTCAGGGCCACGACGGGTTGGGCGCCAGGTGTGCCAACTACTACCAGGCTGGCGCACGCTTCGCGAAGTGGCGTGCTGTGCTGAAGATCAGCGATGGATGTCCTTCGCCACTCGCCATTCAGGCCAACGCTGAGGGCCTGGCCAGGTATGCGTCCATCTGCCAGGAGAATGGTCTAGTGCCAATTGTCGAGCCAGAGATTCTGATAGACGGTCCTCATGACATCGAGAAGAGCGCTGCAGTCACCGAGAAGGTTCTTGCCGCCGTATACAAGTCTCTTAGCGACCACCATGTGTTGCTGGAGGGAACGCTGCTTAAGCCGAACATGGTCACGCCTGGGTCTGATGCACCGAAGGTTGCACCTGAGGTGGTAGCCAAGTACACGGTGCGGACGCTGCAGAGGACGGTTCCCCCTGCTGTCCCAGGGATTATGTTTCTTTCCGGAGGCCAGAGCGAGGAGGAAGCAACGCTGAACTTAAATGCCATGAATGCCTTAGACACAAAGAAGCCATGGACTCTGTCATTCTCGTACGGACGGGCACTGCAGGCCAGCACTCTCAAGGCATGGGGAGGCAAGGTGGAGAACGTGGAGGCAGCCCAGAAAGCATTCCTAACACGAGCAAAGGGAAATGGCGAGGCAACACTCGGCAAATACACCGGTGCTCCAGCTGCAGAGGGCGCATCTGAAAGCTTGCATGTAAAGGATTACAAGTATTAAACCGCACAGTATGTTTTCCCGCTTGAAAAAAATAAATAATGCGGCGGTTAAGGCGGAGATGTGGAAAGTGGCAAGACGGCAGGCAGCCTCGACCAGATACATGCGCGAAACAGTGGCGCGCTGCCGCTTGCAGTTGAATTTTGGGCCTGCGGCCGATATGAGGCGAGGTACTGGCGCAGTCTGGCGGTTTTAAGTACTAAATTCCAGCTGGTTGCAAGGACGTCAACGGAGTCAAAGGACTCGACGAGCTCGGGGGGTTCGAGGGGTCCAAGGTTCTAGAAGCGCTAAGGGGTTCAAGGGGCTGAAGGGACACAAGGGGTTCAAGGTGCTTAAAACGCAAAGGGTAGTCAAGGAGCTCAAGGGACTCAAGGGATTGAAAAGGACTCAAGGAGCTCAAGGATCACAAGGGGCTCAATGGAATAAATAGCGCTTGGTAATGACGAACTAAAGTCAATGTTTGTGTAGGAAATGGTAGGTGAATAAGTAGGTGAGTTTGGGGAGAGAGAGAGGGAGGACGCAGGTGATGTGCAGGTGTTGTTAGTTCAGAAGGAGAGGGAGGAGGGGGTTTGCCTCACATATATCTGTTCTTACAAGCAGGACGGATGGAAAAAGAAGGTTTCAAAGTTCTATAGGACTCATATAAGACGCAAGCGACAGGAGAAGTCCAGACACCACTCCTTGATCTGGAGGTGTAAGTTCTCTTAACTTCTGGATTGATTGGTTCTGCATGTGACAAACACTCCTGGACCAACGGATGGGAAGAAGGTTTCAAAGTTTGCCTGGACTCGTATTTATCATGGAAGAGGTTCAAGTATTTTTCTTTTAATCTTTATTAAAAAAAGGAGGACTCATATTTACCATCAAGATTCAAGGGGACGGGAGAAATCCAGAAAACGCTCACTGATGCACAGCTGTTAGCTCTTCATTGGCCGGTTCTGTGCGTGATTCCAATGCTGGGAGTCGTAGGCAGTTGCACCTCAACGGATTTTGGTCGTTGAGGGGAGGGCATAGCCGGAGCCTGGAAGACAGCAAGCTAGTGACATCCCTGATATCAGGTGAGCTTCAGCGAGAGATGGAAACGGAGTGGAGGCCTTTTGAAATCAATGGTGGAGAACGAAAGTTGAGTCCCTTTTGGCTATTCTGGGTTGCGCTCTGTAGTGCAGCTACTCTATCAGTTGAGGCGCAGGGGATCAGAAATAGTAACCTACTATTTAGGTGAGAGGGGGGGGGAGAGGGGGAAGGAATTCCCACTTCTTGCAGCCTGCAGGTATTTTCTCATGTTGATGTATGATGAAAGGACAACTGTTTCCGTCTGTCTTTCTCGTTGGCAGGGGCGACTTTACCTGACTCGTCAGATGTCAGATTGTCAGGCAAATGACAAACAAAGGGCTTTTCGTAGTTGTCAGTTGTGGATTCTTTCTTCATTCTCTAGAATGCCTGATCCCTCTCTATTTTGGAATGCTAAGATCATCTCACGTCGAGGATTCAAACTGCCCACCTAAACAAAGAGCCCCGCTTTGGGCTGGTCCCGGTGAGCACTGAGCGAGTACCCGGGTACCCGCCCGGGTGCGCAGGTGTCCAGGTGCCTTTGCAACACCCGGCAACACGCCCGGGTCGCCTGTGGGTGCTTTTTAGCTGCTGCACTTACCAAGCCAAGACGGTCCAGAGCAGGCACCTTAGTAGATGCTTGCTGGATGGCTTATCTCACCAACTCCATACGCACACATGCTGGAAGGCTTTATCCACTGCATCAACTCCGATTCACAGTGCTTCACTGAAATTTTGACTCTCAGTACGGTTCTTATAATAATAAAAAATTCGCTCCAGTTTATTTGGGGGACTCGGGAGTCCTTTTATTTGTGCTTGCAGAGAGAAGGATTAGAGAGTGCTCAAACGCTAGGGCGAACAGAATTTGACAAAGTCTGTGAATGTTAGGCATCATAAAATGGGGAATACTGGGGCTGCCAGACTGCAGGGGGCGGGGAGTTGCTTGGTGTGTGTGTGTGTGTGTTGGGG